CGGCTTTCTTTTAACCTTTTTAAAACTTCCACCAAGAAAACCTCAACTTTATTGATCAAAAAAATATTATTTTTATTAAACCCACTTATCATACCAACCCCCCACATCCACACACACCTTGCCGAATATTGTATTACAACAGAAATTAGAAATGTATATGGCACGTCCGAATATATGCTCGCTATGTGTTGCATGCATTTCAAATGCTGATTCATACGTCTTAAATGTTCTTGTTTCATTTATTATCAATGCTGTGCGAATTACTGCTCTGTGAGATGCCCAATGGAGGTAGCGGTGTGTGTGTTTGTTTCATTTTGGTCCCCCACCACCACTGCCGTTGAAGTCATTTGGTAATGCAACGATGCATTCATTTCAAAAGGGGTGGGAAGGGGGTCTGAGGGGGATATTACAACTAAGAGCCTATGCCGTCATAATTAACTTTAAAAGAGTGTTAATTACAACGAGTATTTTGTTTAAAAAGGTATTGACTGAACAAAGGCTAACGTTATTTTGAAAAAGTTTGGAAACGATTTGGGACATAGAGATTTCTGGTGGGTAGGATTTATAAAATAAAAATTAACATTTATTGCAATTTATTTTGAACTAATAAGTTGTAGGTTTTTTATCAGAAGGCCTAAACATTGAATACTGCGAAATTTTGTCCAACTAAGACTGAGTTCGAAAATAGAACCTGTAAATACTTTCTCTTTGGAATTCACCACACAAGAGCTGAATGATTTAAAAAGCCAAAATTAACGTTAGCAGGAATGGATTCCCAAACACGAACATATTTTTCAGGTGATTGGAATCGCAGAGTACTTATTCAGGTCTCTAAGTCTTTGATCTTGATATGATCTAGCTTGAGATAGTATTAAGGTCTCTTGTTGTGGTTTCTTTGCATATCCTTGTGGAACCTTGCTTGAGAAGTTATTAAGTTCTCGTGCAGTTATATCTTGTTGGATATAGGTCTATTGGTATGATGTTCTTGGATATACTTGTAGCACCCTTGCTTGAGTACTTATAACAGCCTCTTATAGTAGTATCCTTGCAGAGTCTTATCCAGGTAAAGTAAAGATATTTTCAAAATCCTTGTGACGGCCAGAGTACTTATAGTAACTAGGTCTTTGGTTTATCAACCCAAGATCTTGCTTTTCGCCCCGAAATCGATTATTTATTCTGAGATCAAGTCGTAAATATCCTACAAACTCAGAAATATCCAATCAAACCTCTACCAGTTTCCAGGACCTACTTATGGTCAAAATTTTGAACGATTTTGATTTTCTCAAATTTTGGTTTTCCAAAAGGTAAAATTTTTTAATAATCATGAATCTCGTATAATGACACCAGGACAATTCAGCACTATTTTTGGGATTATTGTGATTTAATGTGTTTCAAAATTCGGAAAAAAGACTGTGCGTCCAATTTTTATTGGTCTGAATGGTTATTGGGGTATTTAAAAATATATTTAGAAAGTAAACCCTAACCAAAACGTGGCTTGGAATTTTTTAATTTTTTTCAAGACCACCTTCAAATCGCCAGGCGAGGATATTTTAAGAATTTTTTAGGGAGACAACCAACAACCTCCAAATCAATAGGCGTGTTTTTTTTTAATTTTTTTTTCAAAGACCGCTTTCGGGTCAATTTTTTCAAATTTTTTAAAGACCGCCTTCAAGTCGATAGGTGGGGATTTTCTAGGAATTTTTCAAGATCCACCTACAAACCAATAGCCGTAGATTTTTTAAGAATTGTTAAGGTTTTTTCAAACACTACTTTCGGGTCGATAGGCGTGGATTTTTTTTAAGAATTTTTCAAAAACCACCTTCGGGTCGATAGGCTTGGATTTTTTTTATGAATTTTTCAAAGACCAACTTTAAGTCAATAAGCGTGGATTTTTTAAGATTTTTTAAAAGACCACCTTCGGGTCGAAAGACGTGGATTTTTAAGAATTTTTCAAAGACCATCATCAGGTCAATGGGCGTGGTATTTTTTTTACCAGGCTCAATATACGTGGGGTTTTGTTTAGTAATTTTTCAAAGATCACCTTGGGGTTTTTAAGAATTGCTCAATTTTTTTTTAATTTCTCAAAGACCATCTTCGGGGCAATATCAGTGGATTTGTAAAAAATTTTTCAAAAAAATCCACTTCAAATCTATAGCCGTGGAATTTTATGAATTTGTCAAAGGAGGATTTTTTTAAAATTTGTCAAAGATCACCTTCAAATCAATAGGCATGGATTTTTTAGAAAATTTTCAAAGACCACCTTCAAATCAACAGGCGTGGATTTTTTAAGACTTTTTCAAAGACCACCTTCGGGCAATAGGCTTTTTTTGAGATTTTTCAAAGACCACCATCAAATCAATAGCCTCGGATTTTTAAGAATTTTTTAAAACCACCTGCGGCTCAATTTGTGTTGGTTTTTTAGCAATTTTTCAAAGACCACCTTCGGGTTTTTTAAGAATTGTTCATAGATTTTTTAAGAATTTTTCAAAGACAATCTTCAGGGAAATATCCGTTAAGAATTTTTCAAAAATCAACTTCAAATCAATAGCCGTGGATTTTTACGATTTTTTCAAAGTTCATCTACAAATCAATAGGCATTGATTCTTTAAAGACCACTTTCAGATCAATAGACGTAGATTTTTAAGAATTTTGCAAAGACAACCTTCGGGTTAATTGGCATGGATTTTTTAAATTTTTTCAAAGACAACTTTAGGGTCAATAGGCGTGGATTTTAACGATTTTTTTTAAAGACTATCTTCGGGTCAACTTATTTTAGAAAACCCTTTTTGTGGTTCTCCAAACCCAGAATCGTGAATTTTTAAGAATATTATAAAGTTTGTTATTTTTATTTCAAAAAAAATATATACTTTTCATTATATCGACATTTCAGGACTCCTTGATATTATTAGAACAAATGACTAGAATTTGAATAGCATCATAACAAAGAGAATTCTAAAAAATAGTAAATTTAAAAAAAAAGAAAATTTAAATTTAGAATCTGCATCTTTTGATATAGGGATATATTATTATTTCCGGATTTTTTTTTTTTTTTTTTGATTTTTAGAAAATCTATAAGGACCTTACGCCAAATGATCGATGTTTCCATCAGAATAGATTTTAGGGACTTTCTGTAAAAACGTTGAGTCTAGTAATATTCAGAAATTCTTCTTCAGAAATTCTGTTTTGGTTAAAAATCTGGTAATTTATTAATATTTTTTTAAGGACTTCATGTCTTAACTATAATTTCTTGCTTATTCTCTTTAATCACATCTCTGAAGGACTTTATTTCCTAGTCCTTTATTTCCTAGTTAATGGCTGATTACCAAAACTCTTTCTAGCATCTCTCCCCATCCAAAATATATTATGCACTATAATTCTTCCTCTTCTAAAACCATTATTTCTGTATCTTACCCCACATTTAATTTTAATTTTCCCCGAAAAAAAAAAAATATTCAAAAGGGTAATTTTAATATTTTATAATCCCGGAACAAGTCAAAGTTATTTATTTATTATTTTTTTTTTTTTTTTTTTTTTTGGTTGGAGACGAAAGGAATTTGTTTTTTATGATTTGTTTATTTATTGTCCCCAAAATCCTACCACCAAAATCCACTTATTGCCAAAAAACAAAGGCTAGCAACAGTCAAACAAAAAAAAAAAAAAAAAAACCCAGCAACAACGATCTATGAAATATCAAAGGCCATTCTGGCGGCAGGACAACGGCAAAAAAACACTATAGCCGTATTTCATACCAAACCTCCCCCCCACAATCAAACCCCATAAACACACTTTATATGATTTAGTGCGACGCTCTCTCAGTGTCACCAAGCGTTGATGTATGTTTTGGATGCTTTTTGGAATTCGTGCTTAGATACCCCTCATCCCCCTCTTCCTCTTTCACAATAACCCTCTACTCTTGGCCCATGTCAAGTGACCCAACCAAGCTATGTGGGGGCTGGCGGGCGACCATATAGAGGGTGTTGGTGACACCATGACGGCAACACTTGATGTTGTAAGCAACGCTGTTTCTGTGTGTCTGTATGTGTGTGTGCAGTTGAAGGGTGTGATGAAGAGGAGATGATGCCGGCTGACTAAAGTTCAAATAATGTGAGAGTTTGTCAAGTGTTTGCTCGTGGTATGGCCTGGGCACATTGTTTATGTGACCCTTTCATCATCAACACATTTATCTACGGGCAGGCAGCATGGCATTGCTGGCTGGCTGTCCGAGTGGATGGACGAATAGATGGATGGATTTTTTGGGGGAAGGGGCAGTAGAGAAAGAAGGCAATTCTTGGAAAGAAAAAAACAACAACAACACCGAGTATCGAATGACTAAACTAAACCATAACAAAACATTTCTGGGCCAACAAACAAAAACAACAACAAAAGTGACGGCAGCAGCAACAAACGGCAACTACGTCATGGAATGTGCTGTAGAACTAATTTTTTTCGTTTGAACCCACAAATTTTTGTTTGTCCTGCTGGTTGGTTGGTTGTAACGTTGCTAGGTTCTGTACCCGGTCATATGTCTGTCTGTCTGACGCTCCTCCATAAGTCTGTTGATGGTAAATAGTTTTTTTTCTTGTTGCCTCTGTTATGCCTTTTTGGGTCAATTTGTTGATTTTTTTTCGAGAGGATGTTTCCATTTTTTTGTCTCTTGTTTTGGTAAAGAAAAATGAATGGATATCTGTATGAAGATATATTCGCAATTTTTCCTATTGGTATTTACATACATTAGAATGATAGAGAGGGAGAGAGTTCGTAAAAAAACTATAGGCTTTTTCCCAAAGTTTTTTAATTGCAAACTTAAAAAGTTTTTTTTGCATTTCTTCTTTCGGCAGAGTTTTGGTTATTTCATTTGTTTGGAAAGGACATTTCGGAGAATTTTCCAACAAATCTTAGAAAAAAGTAATCCTTGCAAGGGATGTTGGATGGCATTGGCTTACGTTGTATGATTTTGAATCGAAAAAAAAGATATTTATTTCAAATTGAAGGCTACTTACCATTACGATTTTCACTATCGGCGGGTTTCATTTGTATGGGATGATACATCTGAAAATAAAAGGAAAAATAAGTTTTCAATAAGTAAATCAATAAATATGTAGATTCAAAAACAACAACAGAACATCTTAAAATCAAGAGGCGAGGATTTTTTAAAAATTTTTCAAAAACAACCTTCAAATCAACAGGCGTGGATTTTTTTTAAGAATTTTTCAAAGACCAACTTCAAATCAATAGACGTGGATTTTTAAAGAATTTTTCAAAGACCACCTTCAAATCAATAGACGTGGATTTTTTAAGAATTTTTTTCAAAGACCACATACAGGTCAATAGATGTGGATTTTTTAAGAACTTTTCAAAGACCATCTTCAAGTCAATAGGCGTGGATTTTTTAAGAACTTTTCAAAGACCATCTTCAAGTCAATAGGCGTGGATTTTTTAAGAACTTTTCAAAGACCATCTTCAAGTCAATAGGCGTGGATTTTTTAAGAACTTTTCAAAGACCATCTTCAAGTCAATAGGCGTGGATTTTTTAAGAACTTTTCAAAGACCATCTTCAAGTCAATAGGCGTGGATTTTTTAAGAACTTTTCAAAGACCATCTTCAAGTCAATAGGAGTGGATTTTTTAAGAACTTTTCAAAGACCATCTTCAAGTCAATAGGCGTGGATTTTTTAAGAACTTTTCAAAGACCATCTTCAAGTCAATAGGCGTGGATTTTTTAAGAACTTTTCAAAGACCATCTTCAAGTCAATAGGCGTGGATTTTTTAAGAACTTTTCAAAGACCATCTTCAAGTCAATAGGCGTGGATTTTTTAAGAACTTTTCAAAGACCATCTTCAAGTCAATAGGCGTGGATTTTTTAAGAACTTTTCAAAGACCATCTTCAAGTCAATAGGCGTGGATTTTTTAAGAACTTTTCAAAGACCATCTTCAAGTCAATAGGCGTGGATTTTTTAAGAACTTTTCAAAGACCATCTTCAAGTCAATAGGCGTGGATTTTTTAAGAACTTTTCAAAGACCATCTTCAAGTCAATAGGCGTGGATTTTTTAAGAACTTTTCAAAGACCATCTTCAAGTCAATAGGCGTGGATTTTTTAAGAACTTTTCAAAGACCATCTTCAAGTCAATAGGCGTGGATTTTTTAAGAACTTTTCAAAGACCATCTTCAAGTCAATAGGCGTGGATTTTTTAAGAACTTTTCAAAGACCATCTTCAAGTCAATAGGCGTGGATTTTTTAAGAACTTTTCAAAGACCATCTTCAAGTCAATAGGCGTGGATTTTTTAAGAACTTTTCAAAGACCATCTTCAAGTCAATAGGCGTGGATTTTTTAAGAACTTTTCAAAGACCATCTTCAAGTCAATAGGCGTGGATTTTTTAAGAACTTTTCAAAGACCATCTTCAAGTCAATAGGCGTGGATTTTTTAAGAACTTTTCAAAGACCATCTTCAAGTCAATAGGCGTGGATTTTTTAAGAACTTTTCAAAGACCATCTTCAAGTCAATAGGCGTGGATTTTTTAAGAACTTTTCAAAGACCATCTTCAAGTCAATAGGCGTGGATTTTTTAAGAACTTTTCAAAGACCATCTTCAAGTCAATAGGCGTGGATTTTTTAAGAACTTTTCAAAGACCATCTTCAAGTCAATAGGCGTGGATTTTTTAAGAACTTTTCAAAGACCATCTTCAAGTCAATAGGCGTGGATTTTTTAAGAACTTTTCAAAGACCATCTTCAAGTCAATAGGCGTGGATTTTTTAAGAACTTTTCAAAGACCATCTTCAAGTCAATAGGCGTGGATTTTTTAAGAACTTTTCAAAGACCATCTTCAAGTCAATAGGCGTGGATTTTTTAAGAACTTTTCAAAGACCATCTTCAAGTCAATAGGCGTGGATTTTTTAAGAACTTTTCAAAGACCATCTTCAAGTCAATAGGCGTGGATTTTTTAAGAACTTTTCAAAGACCATCTTCAAGTCAATAGGCGTGGATTTTTTAAGAACTTTTCAAAGACCATCTTCAAGTCAATAGGCGTGGATTTTTTAAGAACTTTTCAAAGACCATCTTCAAGTCAATAGGCGTGGATTTTTTAAGAACTTTTCAAAGACCATCTTCAAGTCAATAGGCGTGGATTTTTTAAGAACTTTTCAAAGACCATCTTCAAGTCAATAGGCGTGGATTTTTTAAGAACTTTTCAAAGACCATCTTCAAGTCAATAGGCGTGGATTTTTTAAGAACTTTTCAAAGACCATCTTCAAGTCAATAGGCGTGGATTTTTTAAGAACTTTTCAAAGACCATCTTCAAGTCAATAGGCGTGGATTTTTTAAGAACTTTTCAAAGACCACATTCAAAGCAATGGACGTGGATTTTTTTAAAGAATTTTTCAAAAACCACATTCAAATCTATGGGCGTGGATTTTTTAAGAATTTTTCAAAGACCACATTCAAATCAATGGGCGTGGATTTTGTTAAAGATGTTTTCAAAGACCACATTCAAATCAATGGGCTTGGATTTTTTTAAAGAATTTTTCAAAGACCACCTTCAGAGTAATAGGCGTGGATTTTTTAAGAATTTTTCAAAGACCACCTTCAAATCAATAGGCGTGGATTTTTTAAGAATTTTTTAAAGACCATCATCAGGACAATGGGCTTGGATTTTTAAAGATTTTTTTAAAGACCACCTTCAAATCAATAAGCGTGGATTTTTTTTGAAATTTTTAAAGACCACCTTCAAATCAATAGGCGTGGATTTTTTAAGAAATTTTTAAAGACCACCTTCAAATCAATGGGCGTGGATTTTTTAAGAATTTTTTAAAGACCAACAATAGCCGTGGATTTTTTAAGAATTTTTCAAAGACCAACAATAGCCGTGGATTTTTTAAGAATTTTTCAAAGACCAACAATAGCCGTGGATTTTTTAAGAATATTTCAAAGACCAACAATAGCCGTGGATTTTTTAAGAATTTTTCAAAAACCAGCTTCAAATTGGAAAACCCTGAAAAACCAGCTTCAAATCAGAAAACCCTGCATTTTTTTAAGAATTTTTAACACCATCGAATGAATAGGCGTGGGTCTTTTAGAGAATTTCCCGATAAAAACAGTGTGATTTTTTTCTTCAACCACTGTTTGTCATATCTTACAAATTATTGCTTTAAAACTAAATTATAATGTAATAAATCACATAAAATACCCCTCAGAGACATTCCCATTCTCAAGACATTACAAAAGTTAAACCGCACAAAAACAATAATTATTTTAAACCCAAAATGCAAATAGCTAAAAGAAAGGAGAAGGGAAAGCGACCAAAAAAAAGAAAGAAAATAAAAATACGCATTACAAATTTATTATTTAAAGCTAGAAATTATCTTTATCGGTTTTTAAACCACACACGCACAACCTCATACCACACACAACACTCACACACATGTATATATATATATATCATTAAGACTTAAAGGATGGGAAATGTATAATTCATGCTACTCGGGAGTCATTAAATATGAAAGCCACAACAAAAACTTGGAAACCATGAAACGAGAAAAAAGAGGACCTCTAAAGAAAAAAAAATGCAAGAGGGTGATGAATCGGATATCACTTGTTGGTGGTATGAGTGTGGTATCAGTAGGAGAGTGGGAAGGGGACAAGGAGGCATAGGACCTTAAGTAGAAATTATGAATTGTCATGGTAAAGTGTGTAAAATTTTATCCTAATGAAATTTATATATTTTATGTTCGTCTCATGTGTTGCATTTGCCACTGTGACAATATCCGCCAGAGAAACCATTATCGCAGACATTCATAAAATTTTCATGGTGCAAAAGTGGGGTGGGGAGGGGAGGTCAAACATAGCTCTACAAAAGTGGAAAGTAATACAATCACACATAATAGAATTACACTTGAACACATATACACTCGCGCTCACATATATATGTACATAGATATGTAGATATACAACATGCCACCAAATGTCACACAAATAATGGCCACAATAAAAGTAGAGGAGATTGCGGTTCGTAGCGCGACAATGAAGTGCCGTTTTTTTTTTTGCAAAAGGACAAAATTCAAAGTCATAAAATGGCGTTGGCAAAACATGAACTTTCATACGCATTATAAATGTTTGCTTGTTATTGTTGGTTTTGCGTATTGAAATATATGTGCACACATGTGTGAGGAAAACAATTTAAACACACTAACACACAAACTAACACTTCCGCAGTACCACAACATTGAATAAAATTCCCAATCGACATTTTCTTTTGCAATTGGAATATACAGACAGTAGGGAAACCAAAAAAGTTGGATAGATCCGACTATATAATTTTGAAGTCGGGACATCATTGAAGAATCTTGGGAGTTATTTTATGCATAGAATATGGTCCATAGACATTCTCAAAAAATTTTAAAAGGCTCAAAATACTCAATTTTTTGCACAAAATACTTGAATTTTCAATAATTTTTCAAAGACTAATTTCTGGTCAATTTTTGAAGAAATTTTCAATGACTATGTTCAGGTTAAAAGGCGGGTTTTTAAGAACTTTTCAAAAACAGCCTTAAGTCTACTGATGTGGATTCTTAAAAAATGTTCAAGAACATCTTGGGGGTCAATAGTCATGGACAAAGACAATCTTTGGCGAGGATTTTTTACGAATTTGTCAAAGGCCATTACCAGGTCCAAAAGCTTGGATTTTTCAAAAAAAATTTTATCAGGTCCAAAGGCGTGGATTTTCTAAGAATTTTTCTAAGACCATTATCAGGTCTAAAACGACGATTTTTAAAAATAATAATTATTCAGAGACAATCTAAAAGTCTATAAGTGTGGATTTTTTAAGATTTTTTTCGCAGACCTTTATCAGGTCCAAAGGCTTGGATTTTGTAGAATTTTTTTCAATACTTTTATTAGGTCCAAAGGCGTGGATTTCTTAAAAAATTTTCAAAGACCTTTATCAGGTCCATAAGGCTTATATTTTTAAGAATTTTTAAAAAACTATTACCAGGTCTAGAGTCGTGGATTTTTTAAGATTTTTCCTAAGGCCTAAATTTTTAAAGAATTTTTCAAAG